TTGAGACATATATTTACTTTCTGAAGTCACCAATCATGGATTAGTATTAGTGAACTATCATGATCATATATTCTCAAAAATACTTAGTACTATTGGGTGACTATGACACTCTATGGAGAACCTCAATCTTTAGTCATAAAATTAAGAGCTCCCGATTTCACAGCCCCATTAGCCCTATTTGAAATGACCTTATACAGGTTTAAGTGGAACAGAAGGATTCATAACCTCTGGATGACATAGGTAGGTTTCAAGAAACAGACATCCTGACAATCACATCTGTAAATCTGTGGTAGGGAATCCACACTAGTGGGTTTAGCTCTGCTTGGTACCTTATTCTCTAATGTTCTTCCACATCCCATTTTCTACAGAAACAAATCTGGTCTTTCCAAAGGGCATATGTAGGGAGTATGGTTTCTTTTATTTCAAATCTATATTTAGAGACAAATTACAGCTCTTGATGCTGTGGTAGAGTGAAGCTGCTATTTTGGGGGCAAATGTGTTACTTCTGTAATGAGTATAAAAACAAGGTGACCCAGGGCATGAAGAATTGAGCTTCGTGCTGGCTGCAAGCTTTTAGGGGGGATGTTTTTGATTGGTCCCTGGGGTGCATGCAGGTAACTGAGCAACATACGCTGGGTCCTCAGCTATTTGGTTTGGAGGTCAGGCCGTGGATTCCCTCCCCTAGGAATCTTTACTATTTCAAAGAGGAAGAGAGTCAACTCATAGCAGCTTCCCTAAAGAATATCTGATACTCCACAGATAGTTGGAGGAAAAGGGCAGTGCCAAATCCCCCCGCCCTCCCCAATGGTGTTTAAGGTGCTCCCTAGAGATGGAAAAGTCATCCATGGCATCATTGACAGCAAGACTCTATTCCACAGAGAGGCTGGCCAAGTCAGCTGGGGGCCACTCGAGGGAATCCTTTATTGCTTATTGAGAAGCAGAGAACAGAGTAAGGGTAAAGCCTATGGGAGGCCTGATCTAACACCCAGTGGAGGGATGGAGAGGCAATTAGATAACCTTGCTAGAATGTTCCAGGCTCGAATCATAGAAAGTGAGGAAAAACATTAGGAAAGCTCTAGGTGTAGGCTCCCATATTACTGATGAGAATTGGAATGACGTGTGGGGTTCAATGAGCAGCCCTACCTACACCCACACTGAGAACCTCTGACTCAAAGCACTAGGTTTGTTCATTATGAGATTGTGTACAGTGAGGTAAATTTTTTCCCAATGAGGGGAAATGCAACCACCCTCTTTGAGTCTCATTTTTCTCATCTGTTAGGTGAAGATAAAAGTAGTGTAGGGTTTCTCAGCTTTGGCACTATTGACATGTTGGACTGGATAATCCTTTGTTGTCATGTGCATTGAAGGCTGGTTAACAGAATTCCTGGCCTCTACCCCTTAGATGCCAATAGCACAATTCTGAAAACCAAAAGTGACTCCAGACACTGCAAATGTCCCCTTAGTGCAAAAATGTCCCCACTGCAATAGTGTAACAGTGGGAATCATGATATTCTATATAAAGTGCTGGGCATGGCATCTGGCATGTAATAATTGCTCAGTAGATATTAGATATTATTTTCACCCACTGGTTAAAAATGTGATCAGTGTTTTTAGTAGATATTAAATAATACCAGATATTAGGGATACCATTCATTCTCTCAGGTAATGCGTAAATGTTCTTAGTTCAGAGATTCAACTGGCACTCCTGTCCTTTGCTTTGAATAAGGAGAAGCTGGTTTTAAAGAAAGCATTTTTTTTTCCTGTGTTCACAAGCTTAGATTATGTATACTATGCAGATACATTCACAGCTAATCTGGTAAATGGTTTTCAGAACAGTGGCTGCATGATTAATTGATTAAACACTGCAGTGTTCATAGCATATCCTGGGAGAACAATTGCAAGTTTGCCAGTGTAATACACGTCTTGATGTTGAGCAGCTGCCCACAATATTCTTGTTTGGAACGACATTCATGACAGTTATAGGTAGGCTTTCATTAAAAATGTGTTTATATTGTTTCTGAACCATAGAGTGCTCACTGACTTTGTTGACATAATCTAAAGAGGAAGGATGATATTCGTTTCTGTTTATCACGCACATTTAATGTCCTATCTTTTGAGGGCTATTATTTGATAACATGTACAATAATATAATCATTCAAAAGACAATTCTAGCTTCTTCTTGAATGCAGCGATTAAAAACAGACCAAACAACATTATCTACCGAGTCTTGGCTTCATAGCAAACTCCCACCACTTCAGCAAAAGCAAACTTTAGGCTGCTGATAAGAATGGCCGTGACTAACCGAAGTAATTCCTTCTTGCATTAATCTTAAACTCTTTTAGAGTCATCAAGGTTTTATTTCTTTGGCTCCAGATTTAACTGTTGAATTTTGCAGAAATCATTGCAAGTTACACAGGGGGGGATTAAATTAAAGCAAAAGACGCAACTGCCTTTAAGACAACATTAAAGAAAGGTGGAGGAAAATCTAAGAGCTTCTGCTTTCACATCTATATATGGGTATATTTTTTAAACGGAAACATCAGGCTAACAAGAACCACCTTTCAGCTTGCATTGGAAATATTTGGGTTTGGTTCTCTCATTTAATTTGTTTAGAGTAAAATTCCTATAGTAACTGATTTAATAGAAGAATCTTTAGGCAAGTTCTTTAGGAAAATGGAATATTAGAATTAGAATATTTAACAAATTGCAAAATCAATTTGAAGAACCAAATAAAAACAAAATTATTTTTATTTTCATTTAAATCTGTGTTTTATGATCTTTGAGGCCATCTATCCATTGCTCTCCCTCCATGTCCCAGCTATTGTTTCTTCTACAACTTTATTAGTCCCAAATAGACATTTTCATGCTTTCCTGATTTTCTCTTTGGACATTCATCTTCAGCACATTTTTTTAAAGTTATTTTTTGTTGAATTTATTGGGATGGCATTGGTTAATAAAACTATATAGGTTGCAGGTATGCAATTCTACAATACATCGTCTGTATGTTGTATTGTGTGTTTACCACACCAAGTGAAGTCTCCTTCCTTCATCATTTATCCCCCCCTTTACCCTCTTCTACCCCCCCCCACCCACTCCCACTTCCCTCTGGCAATCACCATATTGTCCTCTATCCTTAAGTCTTTTTTTTTCTTTGCTTAATCCCTTCACCCTTCTCACCCAGCCCCATCCCCCTCCTCTCTGATAGCTGTCAGTCTGTTCTCTATGAGTCTATTTCTAGTTTGTTTGTTAGTTGATTTTGTTATTTAGATTCCACATATAAATGAAATCACATGGCACTTGTCTTTTTCTGACCTGCTTATTTCACTTAGTATAATAATCATCCATGCTGTCACAAAAGGGAAGAGTTCCTTCTTTTATTGGGCCGAGTAGTATTCCATTGTGGAAATGTACCACAGCTCTTTTTTATCTACTAATCTACTGATGGGAACTTGGACTGCCTCTAAATCTTGGCTATTGTAAATAATGCTGCAATGAACATAGGGTGCATATATTCTTTAAATTAGTATGCTATGGGTCAAAATCCATCATTTCAACTCTCTTTTCTAGTTACACCTGTGCACACTGGTTGTACCTTTATTCAACTGCTCCTCCTTACTTAGGTGATTTTTTTTTGCTCTATTATTTTGCACTGACTTGTAAAATGCTTAGCAACTTTGTGCTAGTTGCATGTGTTTCATATCTTTCCATGAAGATTGGTATATCATAGAAAGCAGAGACTGTCTTTGAATTTATTTTTCTCCAAGTTCCCACAAAGGTGTTTTGAACGTATAACAAGTATGTGGTGGAAAAATTAAAGAATGCTATGTTGAACTATTTTACAGTGAGCTTTTATGAAGGGCCTCTTATTTAGATGTTTAAATTTTTAATGCATCTATATAATAACCAATAATACTATTAGAAATATCACTAACTTGGGATGTTGCACTATATATAGTCTAATTCTCATCTGCAGATGGAAAAACTGCATGGATAAATAAATGACTTACCTGGTAAAAGTTCAATAATCAGCCCCAAAATATAACTGGATATTTCCACTCACAGTCCCCAGTTTTCTTCCCTCGGTAGCACTTCTCCTATTAGTTAAAAATTACCTACAAAAAGACACATTGATCTAACTATAATTATAGTAGGTCACCTTACACTTTGCTAGAAGGGAAATATATCACATACTGGACTTACACTTGTGCTTGAGAGACATACAGGTTGGAGATTGATGGCTGTCTTTGCCACTCCCTAGCCCTGGGAACTCAGATGCATGACTTTAACTCTAGGCTTTGTTTACTTAACTGTAAAATGGGACTGATAATTGTACTTACTTTGAAATGCCTAACACATCTGATATATTTTGCATGGCATATAAAACGCTGTTAGCAAATGTAACCTATAGTTATTAACACTTTAGGACTTTACAATTTAAAAATAATTTTTAATATTAATCTGATATGTTTATCAATACCACTAATGGATTCTAATCCATATATTTCATGACAATTTTAAGAAATGTGTATCTTTGTACTCTACTATGTCAATGTCCCCAGGAAAATTTATTTTGGTAATAGTTTTCTCCAAATTATCTGGAGAAAAAGTTTTTTCTTTTGAGTTTTCCGTTTAGGTAACTTTGATGTTATAGATACTTTTGTTTTCATTTTTAGAACTCTCTGGATCCTATTTTAAAACTAGCTGTCAACATCCTTAAAAATTACTTTATAGTTTTAGTCATATATCTCCTTAAGGAAGTATGCTATTCCTTAAAAAAGTAAAATGATAAAAACTAATACTGAGATAAATTGCTTAGTTTATTCTTATTTAGCACAGTATTTTATAGCTACTTCTTTTAAAACCATAGGTTGAATATAAAATGGACATGAGGAAAAAATAGATTCATTTTATTAATTTTATATCTTATCTTCTTTAATTTCACCTCATGCTTCCTTTCTCAGATAATTGGAAAAAATAACTTTCTGGAAAATGAGTTACATAATATTAATTTTTTTAACATTTGCTATTATCTAAGATCAAACTAGCACAAATGCCTTTTCCTGGTCACAAGCAGGTTTGAAGTATGGCTGTACCAGGGCAAACTCAAAGTACCTACTCTACATAAATTAATCTCCCAGAGGAAAATGCATTATGCTTATAATTGAAGTTATCATTTCTAATACCACCATT